GGGTAGCTTCGTTTCCAATACCCTTTGTCATGGCAGTGGCAACACTCTGCATCCTTTGGGTTGGAGGTGGGTGTAGAGGAACCATCCTTGGTTCCACTCGAAGAGGTGCCATAATGGGAATTTCCCTTATGGTGGCTCTTTTAAAGAGCCTTCCTCTTCTTTCCCTTCTCCTGCCCAATAGACAAGACGGGGGCATTAGTAGGATTAGGAGTTTGTGCAACGGATTTGTCTTTGAGGCTGCTCTCAGCAGTCCTCAACAACCCTTGAAATTTACTCAACGCCTCCTCTTTGTTCATGTGGTATGTCATGTGAAACTGGTTGAATCAGGGTGGTAGCGAATGAAGAATGATTTCAATCGCCAACTCTTCATCGAATTTAACATTTAACTTCAATATGTGGTCAACATATCTTTGCATCTTCTACAGATGAGCAGTGACAAACTCTCTGTCTCTCATCTTGGTCGTGATCATCAAAGTGATGATCTCATACCTCTCTTACCTTGTACTTTGGTGGTACCTTTCAAGCAAATCCTGATGCATTTCGTAGCGATAGAAGTCCTTGTAGGACTTTTGGAGTTCAGCAGTCATGGTCGCTAGCATGATGCAATGGACTTTCGGGGCATCATGCTCATGTGTCTCAAAGGCAGCGATCTCCTCGTGAGTAACAATGTTCACATCCACCACTTTCAGCTCCTTATCGAGGACATACTCCTTGTCCTCGTAGCGGGTGAACATCCTTATGTTGCGGATCCAATCGTTAAAATCGTTTCCGTCGAAGATCACCCTCCTACACAAATTCATGAGTGAGAATAAGCCGGAGGTGTTTGATCTTGAAGCATTTTTTGAGTACGACATTTGAAAAGGAAAAAGGCAAAGTTGATTAGATAACAATCCCCAATTAAACACGCAAATGATAAATTAGGGCTAGGATCCAACAACATTATTTGCAATTTAGAAGAGGGATGTCGTAATCTAAACAACAAATAATTTAAAGGTAAGTGAATGACGATTCACTAATTTCCACCATGAAAAATGAAAAGGATTAAGTTTTAAATGTATTGAAACTCCTAGATTTTTTGAGATTCATTAAAGTTTTCAATGGCATGTTTAAATCATGATATGCCCCTCAAGTTTGTGACTGGGATACCGAGGATCACAAACAGGGTGTGAATAACCATGCAAATGTACATGGTGTCCTCAATGTTACAGTCACCTAATCAATGTGCTGGTTAGCCACACACGCTCCATTGATCAATGACAAACATTGAGTCACCCTTATCCACCTTTGCTAAGACCCAAATTAGTGTGTCGGTTAACCACACACGCTCCACTAATGTCTCAGCAAGGGTACAAAGTGTAATTTCATTAAATAGCATCAAATTCACATTTCACCTAAAGTAACTAAGATTGAGAATTTTATGAAAACATTTAGTTACTTTATTAATCATTATACTTTTAATGAGAAATTAGTTTTCCATATACTATCCGTTCGGCTAACGATCCTCCACCAATCAAGGAAACGATGGATGAGAGTGGACACCCATTAAACTATCATTTTATAGGCAGCAACCTTATACCCCCTATAGATCAACTTCGTGAATGGGGCATACTAACGGTAAGACTAGCTTAATCTTATATATATATATATATATATATATATATATATATATATATATATATATATATATATATATATATATTATAATAGCATAAGGGTGTATTTTAAACATTTCAAAATACTATGTTTTTAATCAAATTTAAAATTTCCGAAAATTAAAACCTTTTAATTTTAAATTGTTAAATATTAAAATTTTGATTTAATAATTATCCCAAAATTAAACAATTAATTTGAATTATTAAATCTCGGAGGATATCTATTAAATTAAACAATTAATTTAACATAATCTCTTAATCCCCTAAAATTCAAAATTTTGGGATGGGATAATTCAAAAAATCTTTAATTACCATTTTAAACAATTAAAGGGATAATTACAAGATATGGCGTTACCCTAATCCCTAAAATTAGGAAACTTATCTTAGGGAGGAGGCAATTTCGAAAAACCTAGGGTTAGACAACCCTAATTTCGAAATCTTGGGGCCTAAGGAAACGGTTTGGGAAACCCTAAAAAAATTTCAAAAACTAGGGTTTAGGAACCCTAATTTTGAAAATCAAACCCTTAGGGTTTATTTGCCATAAACCCTAATTTGTCATATTCATACTCTTGTATCATATCTAATTGAAAATAAAACCAAAAGATCTAATACCACTGATGGGTTTTACACAAACAATCCTATGTGTGCATGAAACCTTAATTGGATCTATATTTTCACTATTAGACATACAAGATTATGAACAAAAAAAAAACCTAGCATGCTTCTATAATTTTTGAAATTCACATAAAATAATAGAATCCATTCCTTTTGTTGTTATGTAGTAGTAAAAAATTTGTTTCTTGAATCTCCTTAGCTTTTGAAAGCAAGTACCACAAGTGTAGTACCTCTAATGGCTCACAAACACACTTGAGTGAAAGGATGAATATGAGAGAGAGGATGGAGGGTAACAAGCTCACAAAATCAGCTCTACTAGTGTTTCTCCAAGGGGTTCCAATTTTGAGTGCTTTAGGGTGCTATTTATAGTTGAAGTCGACTAGGGTTTCAAGGTGGAAACCCTAATCCCTTAGCTTAGGGCCTAAGCAAACCCATGGACTCCTTTCCTTAAGCCCTTGGACGAAAACTCCTAGATCCTTCTAGGATTTTTGGCAAAGCCTTAATAAAGGTGATCCAATGGCCCAAAGTCTCAACTATCAAATAATTACAAAACATCCCCTACACTTGTCATTAATTCCTTTAATCCCAAAATTAATTCATGATTAATTTTTGATTAAATACTAATTAATAATATGATTCCAAATTAATATATTATTCATATAGTATATTAACAAATCATATTTATACCCTAATATATTATTCTTAACAATAAATCAGCCTCTCTCCTAAACAGTCATCCTGTCTAGTCACCAGTATGAAGGCAATGCAAAAGGACCATGCTATAACCGAGTCAAGTACATACCAAATATAGTTATGGACTTAGACACTAATCCAACACATAAAAATAAACATATACATATACAAAATCAACATCATATATATAAAAGAAACACATAAAATAGAACTTATGGTGGCTCACTCCGACGAGTATGGTGGTGGTTGCGGTATCCTTCTACAACAGTAAGGATTCTGGTGAGGGAATTAAAATTCCAGAAGGATGTTGGAAAATATGAAAACTAACACAACATATATGACTATTCAGTGGGGAGGGAAGAAAAAGAAATGAAAAAGAGAACTAAAAAAGAGAAGACGTCACCTGTCATCGCCTGTGATGAGCTAAATCATCGCCAATGATGACCCACAACATTGTCGGTGATGAGGTGGACTTACGGTAGTGTATAGGTTGGAGAGGAATGTCATTTTCGGTGATTTTGTGATGGTATCAACGGTGGTGGGCAAAGAGAATTAATGACGAAAAGGGAAAGAGTCGATAGGAAAGAAAGTGAGGACAAAATGGGGTTTATTGTTGTTGAATTTTACCAGCGACGTCTGAGCATTAGCGGTGAATAATGGGCATTTGCGAAGACAACCTGGATGGAAAACAACGCAGGGGCTCCTACGTCTTCTTATCCGTTGGATCCTCACTTAAATTGACATATGGGGTTGAATTAATGTGGATCACAAGCATAAGCCTATAGCTGCGACGTTGACTTTTAGGGCCGACACCAAACGCGTTTGTTTAATGTCGCCACTAAATGTCACAGTTGCTACTAAAGGTGTCGCCACTATTGCATGTTATTCTTTTACTGTTACAACAACACACTAATCATTTAAATTCTTAGTCATAATAAGGTATGACACATAATACACGTGTCCTGCTTGTCATGCCAACACAAGCATGTTGTTGGTTTGAAGTTTGGACTTGGGTTTCATATTAATCAATTTATTTGGTTTGAAGTTTGGACTTGGATTTCATAGTAATCAATTTATGTTTCTTAACTCTTACAAAATGAACATTGAACACTATTATACCAAGTATATATATTTAAACAATACTATAGCACAACACATGTTGCCATGATATTCAACATCTAGTACTTAAAACAATATAGGAAGAAAACTATTAATGAAATGTATAGATGTAATCGTAAAATTGTCAAAATGAGGAAGGAAGATCTGGGAAAATGATATATGAGGAAGAACATGATTATGTTTGAGGGGTTGATGACGGAAAGATGACAACATGTTAGTCTAGATACCCAAATTGGTTAACAGAACGACGATAGATTGTGATTCTAATGTTAATGGTTGAACAACGATATGTTACAACCCATTTGTTTGTATGCATTACATGTGTATTCGATCCATGTTAGGGTATCTCCTAAGGGTACTACTCGTGACCTAGCCAAATATACTCTTTGTCAATGCTATTGTGTTAGGTGGAAGTACTTAACATGAGTGATTGGAAAGTGTATTGGACATAAGACAAGAAGTTTAGATCAACTGAACTTATTTGAGCAATGAATTGTGTATATCATGGCCTGCAACAAAAATACTGGACTATGCTCAACTCTTCTTTGATCAATTGGTTAAATGCATCACCAAGAACAAGAGACCAACCTGCTTTCCATATCCTCATTGGCTTGCACTAATTATGGCTCATACCAGAGAGGGTTACAATATCAACCATGCAGTCTCCATACCTCTTCCAGTTCTCTCATTAAAGATCATCAATGTTGGCCCTAATGATAGGGATATACATCTTACCCAGAGTATGGAGAATTGGGTTGCAAATATCCCTATGTTGTTGTGACCTATGACTCTGAAGAAGAGGATGATAAGGGAAATAATGAATATGAAGAAGAAGATGATGATAATAATGAAGATGTTGATGATGATGAAGAACATGAATCAGATGCTGATATGGGAGAAACTTTTTTTTTTCTTCAGGGAATGACTAACTCTCCCCCAAGATTGAACCAACACATTCACTTTTCTTCGACCTCTACTTCATCAACAAATCCTTCTGCAGACGATATAATACATCATGGATCATCCCCACCTGAAGTAGAAACCATTGATCCACTGATTCATGTTGTGAGCTCTCCAAGACCAGCATCGCCTTCTCCTCAAGTTGCAACTGTCCCTCCAATGCCAATTCCTATACAGACTATTGCTACCTTTAAGGGGGAGACTAGTTCCAACTTTCAAATGATTATGATCTCCAAGATCTCCCTATTGGTTCATATGACTCTGTCTCTTGGAGAATGACTGACCAAAATCGAGAATTATGTGGCTAACATCAAACGTATAATGGCTTTGGTTGATGATGATGATATGATGATTGAAGACACTCCTCCTAGCTTTCTAGGTGATTATCAACCACCTCCACCACCACCTAGAAATAATCCTACTCCACAACCAACAACCCCCTCCTCATGCTCCCTCTTTAACTCATAACTCTCCTCCCCAAGCTGATTATGTCAAAATGGGGAGAATAATCAAGAACTAGTGATGACAAGTGCAAATTTGTTACAACCTGATCAATCTAAATCGAGAAGGGAGGATAATCAAGGAAAAATGGTTTTCTTTTAGTCTGAAGTAATGAATGATGACCGGCCTATTCCAAACGTCGATGATTAGTCGGAGACTGATTATGACAAGTATGAAGGGTTTCTTGATTTGGATTTTATAGCACAAACTGTTATTCCTCTAACTATCATTTAGCTTGATGTATATTTTGAGGGGGGATATTCCTCAAGGAAGTCATAGTGACATTGAGTCTAATGATGATCAACTCAATCCTAGAAAAAGAAAGGCTTCCTTATCACTGGGGAGCAAATGATGTTGAAGCTGGAAGTTCCCCAACCACTTGTGATTCTTCACCCCCCCTTCTTCCAAGAAAAGCAAGCTAACAATTAATTTAGAAGATTGGTTGGAAAGTGGAAAATGACCATTGAGGAGGTCATAAAAATTATGTTGGAGCATAATTCGAAAAAAGAGATGAATGTCGATCAATCAAAACTGGATCAAATCCTTACATCAGCTAATGCTCAAGAGAGAAATATTTAGCGTTTCAATATTGATGTGGCCAAATGAAATAGACTTTATGAGTTGAATGATCGAATCAACCGAAAGAAATTTAGATATATTCTAGGTTAAAGATATCAACCTGGTCCCATCATCAAAGTCAATGATCTAAACCCAAGAATGAATCACTGAAGATTCATGTACTAAGAAAGAAGGTTGAGTATGAATACACTGAAGTTATATTTTCTCATGAGTTAGCTAGATATGGCTACAGAGAGTGGATAAAGATTCAGGAGATAATTTCTAAACATAAAGGTGTTCACGATCAGGAGGTAAATTTGGCAATTAAAAACTTGAGAAAAAAGTCAAGAAGTTGAACTCAGTGCCTTCAGCTGGTCCATCTCAACCATCTACCTCAAAAAGAACTAGTAAGCCTAGAATATCGAAATATATTAAGCTCCTTCTTCCATATGGAACCCCCTACATAAACAACAAGCTACCAGTAGGTGTTGAACCAGTTCAACACATGTTTATTTGGGAACCAGAACATGGTATCTTCTATCTTGATAGCCAGAACCAAATGTGTTTTAAACACACTGAAGATCTTCCTATTGCTCCCACTTAGCATTCATTTAATCTTCGTTTGGAGGGAATGTAACATAAAGAACTGAAGCGAGGCTATCATGTGCTGATCTCTCTTAAACTCAGTAAGTGTTTGGCTGATCTTC